TCTCTCTCTCTCTCTCTCTCTCTCTCTCTCTCTCCCTCTCTCTCTCTCTCACACACACACATACACACACACACACACAGCAACACACACTGTCACACTTGTACTCACCGCCGGAACGGTCGACCATCGACCTGCCGCCCGCTCGCCGGCCACCAGTCACCCGCCCGCAATGAAGATCCACAGAAACACGCCGGCCGCCCGACCTCCACTGGCTCCGCCTCACATCGCCGTCGGACCTCCACCCTGAGTTCACCCACATTGCCGCCAACTGCTCTCTCTCTGACGGATTCCGGCGACCGCAGTGTGCGCTCGTGTGATACGTTCTATTCCTCGTCCGCCCGTAGAAAACATCCACCTCGTCAACCGTCAGACTTCAATCACTAGAGGGAAGAGCTCGTCGTCGATGTCAGGGGCTAATGGTGGTTAATGCTCCAACCGGAAAGATGTGTGCTATGAATTTGAAATTTAGATAGCTTTAGAGGACTCATTAGCAATTTCAACAATTTTGGTCATATTGCAATTTAACCCATGTGCCAAATCTGTAATTCATAAAGAGTTATAAAGTATATTATTTTGTATAAAATTTTTGTACATAAATATTAAATAAAATAATTAAAATATTAAATATATTTATATAATATAAATAATAAATTATTTCATTTATTTTTGTTAATCCAATTAGTCAACCGAAAAATTCAAATGTTTCGGTTCAGTTTTATGTTAATATAACTCATGATGCATATTATTGATTGTCAGGATGCACACTATTGTTACACTAGATGCACATTAATGTGTTGGAGATTGCACATTAACATATCAATTAGCATTTTAACAAAATATTAAGATTTTGATTATTTCAGCTCGAGTTCGGCCTTTTTTACAAAAAAAATAAAGAAATAAAAATATAATAATCGACTAAGTTATTTTTTATATTTTATTGTTAAATACATATATATATATATATATTATTTATTTTCATCAAACAACATTTATTAACTAAGAAATTATAAATACAAAAATAGTTCTATAAAAAAAGTAGGTTATACTTCAAGTGTGCATTAGTGTTAGCCGTACACTCGTATAGCACATTACTGAATGTCAGAATGCACAGTAGTGTTAGACGGATTGTGCATTAGTGACTGTGAGATTGCACTATATTCGACCGAACCGGACGAAATATTTTTTTTGGGATCGAAATTTATGTCGGTTAGATTATATGTGTTGGAAAATGCTCTCCTACCTACGGTGGGCACATGTTAATATGCCCAACGCTTAAAATTTTGGTACAACGAAAAAAAAGGATCGGCCGTACTAAATAAATAAATAATATTTGTTATATTTTATAAAAAAATATCATTTTGCAATAAAAAAAAAGTAAAAAGTGCCAGATGAAAATATTTATGTGCAACTTACATAACATTAATGTGATATTTAATTATCGTTAACGTGCAATTTACATAACATTAATGTGCAATTATTAAAATATTTATAAATTATAAATTTAATCTATTAATTGAATTGTAATATATTGAAGTTTATAAATTGCAATTGAGTCCNAAACAACATTGCACATTCTGCAGCTCGTTGGTAAATTTTGTAAATTTCTTAATTTTTAATGTGCATATACATACACGCTAGTCTGCAATTTATTTATCGTTAATGTGCAATATAACATACAGCCACGTGCAGTGTTTTGAATAGTAAATTGCAACAGTGTCAGACAAATCACTTTAATGAAAAACTTATTGCACAATAACGGTTGAAACCGCTCAATCTAAAATTTTCGGTTCAATTTTTATATTTCGGGTCAATTAATTATTTTTAATTTGGAGGCGCATATTTACACACAATATTGTGCAATTCATTTATCAGTATTGCGTATTTAGTAAATTTTTAATTATTTTATATAAATATTACAATATATTTAAATGTGCAAATCTTATTTATTAAACTTTTTAATTATCTTATATAAATATGACAATATTATTTAAATGTGCAAATGTACAAACAATAATGTGAAATTTATTTGCAATATAATTAATTCTCAACACTAATCTAATTCTCAAACTCACCACCTGCACAGTTTAGCATTAACCATTCAAAATGGAACCATTAACCATTTTTAACCATTCTCAACACAAATCTAATTCTCAACATTATTTAATTATTTTAATTTATTTCTTAATTTGCAGATAAGTCATACAACTTATCTAATTCTCATCACTAAACCCACCAAACTCACCAACACCTCTCGCATTCCCGTCGTCACCCGAACCTCACCGAAAATACTATCAGTCTCGACCGTCGGATACACGGTGATTACCAACAGAACAAGCACCCCGGCGAAAGCTTGAGAATATTGCACCTTCGCGATTTGTTCATGTCTGAAAATTAAACTCGATTTTGGAATTAGAGTTTCATTAATGGTGTTGAAATTTTGTGATTGAGATTTCGATTCAGAACGCAGATGCTGGCGTCGATGATGTTGGCCGGAAGTGGTGAAATCGACGGTGCAGAGAGATCAAATGGCGGAAGTGATTTCTGTGAGAAGATGAAAAGGAGGTAGATAGCGTGAAAGGGACGTTGTCGGTAGTAGAAGATGACGAGCTGAGACGGGCGGTAGGCGTGAAGTTGTGTATTGTTCTTCAAGCCGTTAATTGTGTGTGTGTGTGTGTGTGTGTGAGAGAGAGAGAGAGAGAGAGAGAGAGAGGGGGGACACGATAGTTGGGGTGGATGGGCCCATCATGTGGGTAGATGATTTTTAATTGGTGTGATGACAGTTTTATCCTTATTGGAGGGTCATATGTATAAATTTGACCTTAATATGTACACATATTTACGAGAATACCACAACATATTTGATTGTCAATTACTAAAGTTTGACTTGATCATGATCATTGACTTGTTGGATCCAATGGTGCACACTTATTCTTATTTCTTTCACTATCTACCTTTCTCATATGATCCTAACCCTATATATATATAGTGTTAGGATCATATGAGAAAGGTAGATAGTGAAAGAAATAAGAATGATTATACACCATCGAATCGGTACGATCAATGGACATAATTAAGTCAAAATTGATTTCAAAGGTCAAACCTGCAGTGGCAAAACCGTAAATAGAGTATTATATCATGATCAAATAAATAGGTAAAAGGGCAGTGTTGTAATTTTATCAAAAAACAAAATCAGTGGACCCCACTCATTAAATACAATCCAATTTCTCTCTCTTCTCTCCTCTCCCCTCCCTCCTCTCTCTCTTCTCCCCGTTTCTCTCTTCTCTCTCCTCTCCTCTCTCTTCTCTCTTCTCTGTCCTCTCTCTTCTCCCTCCTTTCACTTTCTATGGCTCCTACCTCTCTCCCCGCGGCAGTACGCGACCCGACTGAAGACGCATCCCACCACCGTCGGTCATGTCGCCGCCGTCGACCACTGCACGTGGCTATGTAGTCGTCCTCGCCCGCGCCGTGTGTCCTCGGCGCCGGCGCCCGGCGGTAATTTGTAAGATCTGACGGGCTGCGACAACGGCGGAGGTGGCGGATCCTGTCAAGGTGCTCGTCGCCGCGTCAATGGTGGAGGTGGGAGGATGGACGTTAATGGGCTGAGCGGCGTCTGAAGTTGCTCGTGTAGGGGATAGCGATGGTCGGTGGGGGCATCAACGGCGACGGCGGTGGCAGGAAAATGACGGACAAGCGGGGGGCGAAGATGCGTGTTGTTATGTGCGCCAAGATCTGCGATGGCGGTGTAGCAGGGGTCTCCGGCGACGACTGATGGGGACCATCCGAAGCTGTCCGTTCAAAGTAACGAAGATCTGTTGAAGATAAACGGGGGACCGATCACGAGGGCAAGGGCTAAGAAAATGAAGGAAGCCATGAGTGTTCTTATCGTTGAATATCAAAAGAAGATGGACCAAATCCCGACTGAAGGCAAATTGATGAATATTCTTCAAGTTGATGGGCCAGATTGTTCGCATAAAGATTAATCCACGGATTGAAGACATAATTTCGTCCATGTCATGTAGCCCAATTGAAGTGTCCATTATTTTGTCTATTTTCAGCATTTGTGAGACCAAAATATCTCTTAAGTTGTCCTAGAAGTCAAAGGTTCATTCAAAAGTCATGTAATCTTATTTATGTGGTCAAAACTATGTTTTTAGTGCTTAATGAGTCCCAAAAACGGGATTAACTCATTAGCACCATTTGTAGCCTTTAAAAAGGCCATTTTATGTTTTAATGATTATTAAGAATATTGCTGAATATTAAAAATCACTTTTGTGAGTTTGAATTCTCTTTTGTAGAGTTTCAATTGTTTTTGAGAACTTATCAAGATACTTGAGCAAGATCTTGTGGCGTTCACCATACCGAGGTTCCTAGCTGATTATATAGCTAACGGGTCGAGGTTTTCAAGCTCTAGGTACGATCAAACTAGATCTCCGATCTGGGATTCCGCTGCCTACATATACGTTTGGTTCTTGGATCAATATATCCAATGGGTCTCACTTGCTATCCGTATCAGTTTGGCATCAGAGCAATCTGGTATTGATTTGATTTCTATCTTTTTTTACATTGCTTTGTATTAAAAAAAAAAAGAAAAAAAAATGAAAAAACAAAAAAATTCCTTGTAATTTCTATGAGGATTGCTAAAAAAAAAACAAGAGAAAAATTTGTTTGTTGAAAAAAAAAAAGACCTTATATTGTTCTACGAAATTGATCTTGATAGGTTTTATTTTAATTGAGCCTACGAAAGAGAATTCAGAGTGGTAAAAGGCAAGAGTGTGTGAGCTCATTAGAGGGGAGGTAACAGCCTACGAGTGAAACACGAGTGTTGTGAGGGCTATATTGAGTGGTACACGAGTGACTTGTGAGATTTGAGTAATGGCGGATAATTCAGCCAATGCGGGAAATGAATTCGCCATTCAAGCTATGCAACAACATTTTGCAAGACTTGGAAATGTTCTCGAAGGCATTACCGATCGTTTGGAGAGGTTGGAACAACAAGATCATGGGAGACACGACAATCATCAATTCTATCAACCTGATTCTGACGAGGAGGAGGGTTATGAGCCTCCACGCCATGGCAATAGAAGAGGAAGAAGAAGGCGAGATAATGAAGTAGATAATGACTTGGGAAGCATAAAGCTGAATATTCCCACATTCAAAGGAAGGAGTGATCCGGAGGCATATTTGGAGTGGGAAAAGAAGACGGATCTCATTTTTGAGTGTCATAACTACTCCGAGGAGAAGAAAGTGAAGCTTGCTGCAATTGAGCTCACCGACTGTGCTATTGTTTGGTGGGATCAACTAACCACTAACCGAAGGCGATACGGTGAGAGGCCTGTCTCTACTTGGGCTGAAATGAAGTCCATCATGCGCAAAAGATTCGTTCCTTCACATTATTTTCGTGACTTGTATCAAAAACTCCAAACTATGTCGCAAGGAACGAAAACGGTGGATGAATATTTCAAGGAGATGGAGATCGCTATGATAAGAGCGAATGTTGATGAAGATCGGGAGGCCACTATGGCGAGATTCTTGAGTGGGCTGAATCGGGACATTGCGAATATTGTGGAGTTGCAGCACTACATAGAACTCGAGGATATGGTGCATACAGCCATGAAAGTGGAAAGACAACTAAGGTCGAAGGGATCCTCTCAAAGAAGTTTCTCATCGAACCTTTACCCATCGAGCAAGGCGAAAGAAGGAAGTCCGAAGATAAATTTTGGGGCAGCTTCTAGAACCCAAAATGAGACTTCTAAAACTAAGGCTCATATGGTTGATAAAGGAAAAGCTGTCACATCATCATCCCGAAGCCGTGATATCAAATGTTTTCGTTGTCAAGGCTTTGGACATATTGCATCCGAATGCATTAACAAGAGAGCTATGATCTTGAGGGAAAGTGGTGTAGTAGAATCTGAAAGCGAGCATGAAGTCAGCGATGACGAGCAAGCCGAGGAAGAGACCACACCTGAAAATGGAGAGCTTTTGGTGGTGAGAAGAGCTCTCAACATGCAAATCAAGGTGGAGGATGCTCAACAGCAAAAGGAGAACATCTTTCATACGAGATGTTTAGTTCTTGGGAAGGTTTGCATGCTGATTATCGATGGAGGAAGTTGTGCTAATGTCGCTAGTTGCGAAATGGTGGAGAAGCTGAATTTACCAACCACGCATCCCAATCCATATAAGCTGCAGTGGCTGAATGATTGTGGAGAAATTCGAGTGATGAAACAAGTGTTGGTGTCATTTTCAATTGGCAACTACAAGGATGAGATCTTATGTGATGTAGTGCCAATGCATGCTAGTTATATCCTTTTGGGTAGGCCGTGGCAATTTGACAGAAGAGTGACTTATGATGGTTTCCTTAACCGTTACAGTCTGAAGCATGAAAACCGGAGCATTCAACTTGTTTCTTTGAATCCACAACAAGTGCAAGAAGATCAAGTCAAAATGTCTCAATCAAGAAAAATAAGAGAAAGTGAGAAAAAGAAAGAAAAAAATGAGGGGAAAAATATGAGAGAAAAAAAGAATGGAGAAAAAAATAAAGAAAAAATGTGTGAGAATGAGGGAAAAGAACTAAGTGTGGTTGAGGGAAAAAAAGGCTGAATTTCTATGCAAAAGCTAGTGAGATGAAGAGGGCAATATTTGAAAGGAAGATTGTTTTAGTGATGGTGCTTAAGGAGTCGATTTTGAACACTAACGAGCTAACCCCATCTTTGCCGAGTACTTTTATGTCTCTTTTGCAGGAATATGAAGACGTGTTCCCCGAAGAAGAGCCAAGTGGATTACCGCTAATAAGGGGTATCGAACATCAGATTGAGTTCATTCCGGGAGCTACACTTCCAAACCGTCCAGCTTATAGGGAAAATCCAAAAGAGACGAAGGAAATTCAGAAGCAAGTGGAAGAGTTGATGGCGAAAGGGAAGATTCGAGAAAGCATGAGTCCATGTGCTGCACCGGTGATCGTGGTACCGAAGAAAGATGGATCTTGGAGAATGTGTACAGATTGTCGTGCCATCAATAAAATCACGGTGAAGTATCGCTATCCTATTCCTAGGTTAGATGAAATGCTTGATGAATTGTATGGTGTTGTCATCTTCACTAAAATTGATTTGAAAAGTGGTTATCATCAAATTCGAATTCGTGAAGGAGATGAATGGAAAGCTGCTTTTAAGACAAAATACGGTTTATATGAGTGGTTAGTCATGCCTTTTGGGTTAACTAATGCACCAAGCACTTTCATGAGATTAATGAACCATGTTTTGCGTGACTTTATAGGGAAATTTGTTGTGGTTTATTTTGATGATATCCTCGTCTATAGCAAAAGCAAAGAAGAGCATCTTGATCATGTTCGTGCTGTTTTAGACACTTTAAGAACTGAATCTTTATATGCTAATCTTAAAAAGTGTTCTTTTTGCATGCATAAAGTTGTTTTTCTTGGATTTGTTGTAAGTGGTGATGGAATAGAAATGGAAAAGGATAAGGTTAAAGCTATTTTGGATTGGCCTGTTCCTAAGAGCATTGCTGAAGTAAGAAGTTTTCATGGTCTTGCTAGCTTCTATAGGAGGTTTGTGAAAGATTTTAGCACCATTGCTGCACCATTAAATGAAATTGTGAAAAAGAAAGTTGGTTTTGAATGGGGAGAAAAACA